CGTCTATACAGATATACTAAGCCGTGCACAGGAGCGCCGCGGTCTTCAATCACCAATGAGTGAATGGCATATCACCATAATTGAGCTGCATGCTGGCCGGATGGACGCATTTGCACCGCTTCATCTCGTCCGCAGAAATGCTGGCATCAGCAACACTCACCACTCGATCAAGACTATGTGATGGCTTGCTCCCGATGAGCCCCAAATTTCCAACTCCTGTCGCGCTTTAGCCTCTGCCTGAGGTTGAATTGGATAGTCACATGAGTCATCGACCATCATTCAAGCTGCCATGGTCTATGAGGCACATGCTTTCGGGGCGGGCGCGTGGTAAGATCCCTCATATGACACGCAGCGCATAGTCGCGGAAATCCATCCTTATTTGAGGTGCTCTTCATCCATTCCTTGGCATGCTGTGTGAGGACAGACTTTGACTAACCAGCCTCTCGGCTCACGGTTCTCCGAATCTAGAACGAAGATGCAACCGTTGTGGCCTTGACTCATGACGACCTGCTTGCACGCATCACGTCACGCTCAGGTCAACAACGGAGCCTCCAGCCTCACATCGGACCCAAAATTGGAACTCTTCCGCTGGCTGAGTCAGGTATCTCGATATCTCGTCTTGCTCTGTTTCGGAGCAGTACGGGGCTCAAGAAGGGATCCGAACCCACTCAAAGGGCAGCCTTTCAGTGCAGAAGAGCCTCATCGAGGCCGTACCTGGACGGACGCAAGGGACTCGACAAGGCGCGATCCTGCCCTCTCCGAGACGTGATGTGGGGTTGGAGTAAGGCGGCGGCTCCTGTCACGTGTGCTCTGACTTTGGGCTTCGTTGGCGAGCTCCACAAGTTTCAGTAATTATTGGAGAGTCGTGGGTCTTGATCTTGATGAGATGTCCGCTTCGGCCCCGAGCTCTTCCGCGTGAGGAATGGCCCCACATCTTGAAGATCCACCGTATGAGCGGTTCCGTTCGAATCCGCTCCCTTATGCGTTGACGGTCAAAGTCAGAATGATGACTCGAGAAAGGGACCTCATGAGACGTGCGGTCAGGTTTCATGCGTAGACACACCTATATAATGCGCGGCGAAGGCGGCTTTGTGAGCTAGGTATACGTACCCGCTCATGTAGGCGTACTTGAATAATAAGTTGCACGAGGAGTGATTTGAAATTCTTGACGCGTGTTGGGTTTGTGATTAGCACGCGAAATCTAATCAGCGGCCGAGAAGCCTTTCGCGTCCCAAAGGGTGCGGCGCTTGATCCGAAATGTGTCACAATTTGTAGACTGGTCTACGCTTCGCGACAGCACCGCCCCCTGGCCTCGAAGGACATCATCCATCCCTCATGCGAACGTCGGAATAGACCACCTTCAATCACCAATTTGTAACTACGCTCGGTTGACAGCACCTTGCATAGGCCGATGCTCTAGCCTCCCGAATTGCACGTTCGATCTCCCACTCATTGACTCGTGACTGACTCGTCAAGGCATTTTCGACTGGTCTGTGCCCACTCAAAATTTTCATGGCGACATGTCCACAAACGGACCTCCTCTAGAGGCACCCGCTTCTTCCCGACCAAGTGGGGTCACCTCCGTTCCAAACACGAACAACTGTGTGAGCACTGCCAGGCCGAATGGGGCTACGCAAACATCTAAAAGCGCCAATCAGCAGTCCATCAGACCAGCGACCCCCACAAATGGAACACAGAACTCTGCTGCGACTTCCAACGTAAGACCCCCGCCAGCGCGACCCTCAACTTCTTCGCAGCTTGTCCGGCCAATCTCTTCTGTGCAGCCCATCCGTCAAGGACCCTCGCTGGCTACTGTGAGTCCTCGCCCACCATCGCACAACACCGCACCGCAACATAGCACCGCAGGGAGCCCATCGCCTTCTCGTCCAAGACCTCAACCTCCTCGACCAGCCTCACTCAGTGGTCCATCTGCCTCGTCTGCCTCCATCGCGACGGATACAACACCCAAGATAGCGCCGAGAACCATCTCGCAAACCACTCAAGCGACGCCAGCTCGTCCTCCTCCCGCATCTGCGAGCACTGCGACAGCTCGGCCACCCTCTGTGGGCACGCACACGCCGGGCGTACTGCAAAAGGAAGCGATGCGCGCCGAAACGCCTGCCAAGTCGTCGTTGTCTGCCTCAGCGACTAGTCTAACATCTGTACCTGGCCCTTCGAGTCCAGCAAGCTCCGACTCCCCAGCTCCTCCTTCCCGTTCAGCTGGGCACAGTCGAAAGCCCGAGACGTATGCAGATCGCGTTGCCAGCGCGGTGGGCGCCAAGAAGGATCGCAAACGCAAGGTGAGTCTACGTCAGCCTAAAAGGCTCCAAGATGATGTGCAGCGACGACGCTGATGTTGTCCTCCCGGACCTTGATGGACCAGCGAGTCCATTACTCTTGCGCTGAGTGTCATAGACGCAAACACAAGGTGAGCTGAGATCACTTGCGCTGGTTGAAATAAGCCTTGCTGCTCGCTGCTGATTCACGGCCCACACCTCGACAGTGCGATCGAAACATTCCTTGCCAGGCCTGCATCGACAGAGGGCTGGCAGACACGTGTCGCCCTTTCGAGGAAGGTGACCAGCATGGCGACATGCGCGACCGAGTAGCTCGGCTGGAAGACTTGGTAGAGGGCTTGGCAAAGGCGCAGACGGGGCTGGCGAAGGAACTGAGCGAGTTCCGAGCGAATGGGACCAAGCCCACCGCGAGCATCGTCAATGCGATAGCGCAGCAGGACGGGCCGCCTCCCGCCAAGATACCCAAAGTGGAAAAGGAGCCTCCCGTGGTTCTCGTCTCCGATGACGAGCAACAAGATCCTTTGGCAGCTGGAGCGAATGGCAAAGCGGGACGCCGTGTGCGCCTGCGCCCGCCAGCTTCCTCTCGCGACTTAGAGCGGGAGGAATTGCACTCTCGGTCAGGAGGTGGCGGAGGGGGTGCTGACGGCAGCAGTGTGAATGGATCAGCATACACTGGTGGTCTCGCAGCAAGCAACGGGGCTGCCCCCTCGAGCTCGAACGATGAGGAAACGGTGGGTGTAAATGCTCTGGAAGGTGGCCTGACCCGCGAAGGAGACAGCTTCTATGGTGCGCTAGCGCTGCCCAGCGTCAGCAGGGGCGTCATCGAGACTAGCATTCGAGGCGAGCGTCTGGAGCTGGCAGCCAACGTACCCTTGCGCTCGGCCAGCGTCAAAGTCAGGAGGCTCATCCAAGAAGGTGGCGCCCATCCGGACATTGTCAATGAGCTGATGCAGAATCTGCCCCCGAGGCATGAGAGCGATCAGATGCTGGGCTGGTACTTTAGGGATATCAACAACACTCGCCTACCTCTGCACGAACACACGTTCAGGCAGAGCTACGAGGAGCTCATGGAGTGGCAGTGGGGCAGCCTAAGAGAGGAGGAAGGGGACGATGGAGCAAGACATTTGCCTTTCTTGTCCTTCCTGTACGTCATCCTGGCTATCGCAAAGCGAAATCAGCCAGAGGAGCGAGGCAGTGATGCAGATGCTCGACATGGCGCTTTAAAAGTGAGCAGCTCCGCACTGGTTTAGTAAGCGCCCTAGACAGGCACTGACCTGCGCATACCTCGCAGCTCTTTCACACTGCCCGCAGAACTATGGCAGTGGCTTCGGCAGTACGTGCGGACCACATCGACGTTCTGCTGGCCGCCCTCTTTGGATGCCGATTTCTTATCTGCCTGCGCATGAGTGCCGAGAGTTGGAGTCTGCTCGGGAGCGCGATCCGAGCTGCGCAAGCGTGAGTGCGGCGAGACTCCATTTCCGAGCTGCTGAGTCTCGCTCATGTGTGCTTTCTGCTTCGCAGCATCGGCTTGCATCGAGATGGCACAAAACTTGGTCTTGATGCCGTGACCACGGAGCGCAGGCGTCGCCTCTGGGCGCTCATCTACTACCTCGACAAGACAACATCCATGCTTTTGGGTCGACCTCAAGGCATCAATGATCAAAATTGCGACACTCTTGCGCCATCCGACGTGGACATTGACACGCTACCCCGATACGGACCTGCGCCGACACCGGAAGCGTTTCCTCCACCGCCAGGCATTACGCCACCTAGTCGCCCACCCGGTGTCTATGCTTTCGTCGCGATCCGTCATGAGCTTGCAAAACTGACTGGTCGCGTAGTAGAGCATTTTCAGAACCTGTCTCGGTGAGTGTGACTTTCCGCCCCTCGATGTCGACAGAGCGATTAAAAGCTTACCAAACGTTCCTTCCTCCTAGGCCTCGCAACTATGCAGATGTGACCGCTATCGACAGCGATCTGCAGCGCTTTGTTGATGCCCTGCCCCCAGCATACCGCTGCGAGCCGCAGGGAGGCACCGATCGAAGCTTTGATGAATTGTGCCCTTGGCTCCCATTGCATCGCTACTTGATCAACGTAGAGCAGCTCTACATCAGAATCACTTTGCATCGTCCTTACCTCTTGCGCAGCGACAAATATGCCCGGTCCCGATCGGTAGCCTTCGCCTCCGCAAAGGCCGATCGCGACATTCGCAAGGAGTACAAACGAGACGTCAAATGGCCTAGAAATCGCGCCCGCGGCGCACACATGGGTGGACTTTATCGGCTGTTCAACGCTGCATTGGTCGCGGGCATACAGCTGCTTTTGGAGCCGAACTCTCCAGACGCGCCCGAATTGCACGCAGCCTTGGACGATTTCCTTGCCCTCAAAAGCAATGAGCCTGCAGATACCAGCCAGTGTACGAAACGAGAAGTCGCGATCATTCAGCTCTTCCAGGCAAAGAGCCGGGATCCCAGCTTCTGTGCTGCGACTGCTACTGGTGCCGGAAGGAGCGTGCCCAACCCTCTAGCGGGTCCGAGCAGACCTATCTCCGTTTCGCTTTCCCGCTCGACCTCCAATACGGTCGGCGCAGCTGCGACTACCCTTGGCGGTGCTGGTCCTGGCCTGATCATACCGGTGGGAGGGCAGCTCACAAAGGGTCCCCCACCGCTCGCACCCTTGGCAGAATGGCCGTCTGGTCAGTCGCCGGTGCAAAGGCACGGTAGGATCGCTGGAACAGGCCAAAGCGCTGCCAGTCCTGCGCCGAGTGCTGGCACTCCGATCACACCTGGCGGCACTCGACTCAGCGTGGCTGAGGCTCCTGGTGCAAGCACCTTGAACAGCTTTGGACCCAGCTCAGCGGGTGGTCTTAGCGACGTGCTGGCCCAAGAGCTATTTGATCAGCTGGGCGCTGGTGTGCTGGACTCTTTTGGACTGGATCACTCGCCTTTCTCCTGGGACGATGGAGCGAGCAATCGAAGCGCGAGTGGCAGCGTTCCATCGGGCTCGAACAGGCCCGCTCAAAGCGCTGCCAATGCGACCTCGAACAACACTTCCAACACATATTCTGCGACGCCTTTGCCAGGCACTTCTGCAGCAAACGTCTTTGACTTTTGGGGCACCTCTGGCACCCCATCTGCGTCGGGCATCGGCTATGGTGGGATCACGAGCTCCACAGCTGGAGCCATCGGTTCGCCCCAGATCGGCAACTCCTTTAGCGACCCTAGCGCACCTTCGTTCGCACCCGCTGGACCTTTTGGGAATCCCAGCATTGACGGAAGCGGCTTGGTGCCGTGGGGAGGCCTCATCGAAGCTATCGTTTCGGGACAGAATACGGATATGCACCAGGCTTCTAGGAATGACGGCGCGCAGTAGACGCATCGGTGATGAACAGCCATGTATTACATATAGTTGAACCAGTGCAAGGAAACTTGGAATAGTAGCAGTGCTTCTAGATGAAGGAGATGCGCGCTCGAGGTAACCTTTTAGGCGATGTACAGATCCGCAGCCTAGAAGCCAGGGTGAGGAATACGTCATCAGTTGCCTAGCCTCTCCACGACTCTGCCGGCGTCGAGTCTAATCAGCGAAGAGATGCTCTGGGGCCATTCGCTCTCGTAATGCGAAACGACGATGATAGCTGCGCTTCTCCTCTGGAGCGCATCCCTCTCTCGCTCTTCTGCAGTCTTGCCAATGGCAAACGCATCTCGCGTCGCTTGGCCAGCATGGATCTGGTAAAGTGCGGAATGGGGAGCTGAAGAGTCTAAAAAATCTCTGCATCGTCCGACTTGATGACTATTCTGATGCTGAAACGGTTCGTCGAGGATGAGAAGGGCAGGATTGCTAATGGCTGCGCGAAGAAGCAGCACGATGGATTGGGATCCCAAGGAGAGGGAAGAGAAGGATTGCTTGGAGAGCTTCTTGGCTGCGTCCAGGGCGTTTGCGCTTCTAGGATCGAACGGCAGCATTGCTGCCGTTGGCGCTGCGCATTCGTTGGTAAAACGTTTCGTAAGGGGTGCGCTTTGCATTTCATCGGTCTGCGAGCCGATGACATCGTCAAACAAAGCAAGCATGCTCCACACCCTTTCCCTCTGCTCTTCATTCAGTGCTCTTCTGCTAAACACGCCCTCGAAGCCGCTACCTATAGCCTGCCCCACCGTCAATCCGCCCCTCTCTGAATCTTTTCTGGGAAACGCGTTGAAGAGCTCGGGAGAGACGTGGCCGATGCGACGAGCGAGCAGGAGGGTGGCGTTGGAAGGAGCGGAACGTGGAGCTCCAAAGAGCGAAATACGATCGGATGGAATGGAAAAGGATTGAGGATGATCGCCCAAGATCAGACTCAGAAGCGTCGACTTTCCAGATCCGTTGCTGTTGATGAGGCCGTGCGGAAGAGGTACGGGTGGTCATGAATGCCTGAACCATCCTACCTCGCAGTATCAGCGTGCTCATCCGGGAAACTCACTCGCCCACCAGCACCATTCTCGTACTTGGATGCACCTCAAAATTGATCTCCTGTTGGAGATGACATGATCGTCAAAGCAAGGAATCGTCGTGGGGAATTCTGAACGTCGTGAGCGCTGCTCGAGCGTAGCTTGATACGCCATCGCAGCGACTCACATCCAAAGCCATCTTGCCCGCATACTTCACGCCGACATTTGTAAATTTGACCAGCGGTGCGGATGACTGGCCCAGACTTGGCTCGTTGCGCTTGGATGTCGCGAGCTGTTTGACCAGCGCATAGCTTCCTTGAGCATGCGCATCGCTGTTAGCTTGTCTCCGCATCACATCCAGCATCTCCTCCCTCTCTCCCGCTCGCACTCGACCATCTTGGTCGATAAAGGTCACGTGAGTGATGAAGTCTGGCACTTCATCTTGCGCCCTGAGAAAGAGGAGGATTCTGGGATCTCTGGCCGCATGCCTTTCTTGCAGAATGTCGCTGAGCAGCGAGCGGGTAGGTGCGTCGAGACCGTTGTATGGTTGAGAGAGCACCAAGAGAGCGCCTGGACCTGCTTGTGCGCTGTTCGAAGCGCTGCCAGGGACGGAGGAGCAGCGCACCAGCGCATCCATCAATCTGGCTCTTCTCATTTGTCCATTGGACAGCCTGATGAGTGGCGTGTGAAGCAGCGCTGTGGATTGTTCATGCTTGCGCACTCCGGCCACATCGCTAGCAGGAGGAGGTCTGTCCAACCTGAGCATCTTAGCGGTGCGCATGATCTTCTCGTGCGCTTCCCACGCTGCACTTCTCTGCTTCTCTTTACCCAGCGCCACTGTCTCTCTGTCGGCTTCAGTGGGCGCAATGAGGAGGTCGTCGGCAACGCAGGATAGTCGAGCTACTTGACCCACGCTGAAGCCCAGCGATCGCATAGCTGCTTCGTACAGCGTCACCGCATCCTCGTCATTCCTCACAGCAGCATATCTTGCCGAGTAATCGACAAAAGCACCCGCATTGGATGCACGTGCGCCAAAGGAGAGGTGCAGGATGTGATGGGAGGGCGGGAAGTCGGGCTGCAAAAAGGGATGCAAGGCGTGAGTGGTGGTGTTGGAGGAGGCAAAGAGAGAAAGAGGTTTGCGTCTGCCTAATATCACATCTCGAAGCGCTTCTCGCACAGCCTCCCCTCGACCCTCTCCGCCAATGATGGCCCAACATTGCGGTGCATCCCCAATACAAAGATCGATGGTGTCGCTCTGCGAAGCATTGTTGGGCGCGATACGTTGGTGTTTGGGCGGCAGGATTTGGGCTGATCGGAGATGTAGGAGGGGCGCGTCGGATGCGTTGGGGCTGCTGCTGCTGCTGCTGCTGCTGC